ACGGAGATGGGGGAGAACAATAGTTGTGGCTGGAGCTGGACAGAGTTCGTGCAGGTTCTGTGCAAGCTTCCCACCCTACTTCACTGGTACTACCTCTTCCCCCTGCCACCGGCACTCACCAATTGTCAGAAATGGAACCCAGCACACATAGAAGATGGCGGTGACAGGCACTAGGACTCAGAAGGCAGTGTCCTGGAGCTGCCTGCCAACCTCAGCCGAGGAGAGGGAAGGGGGAGCCTCTTCCTTCCCTGACAACTAAGCAGAACTCCGGAGAAATCGGGGGTGGCGGAAATTGAGGAGGCGGGGGCAATGCCTGCTCAAACTACACCCAAGGCTGGCACAGGTTCCCGTGGTAACTGGATTTTTGGTGTCCGGTCACCAGTGCTACCCAAGTACCTGGCAGATGGCAGTAAGTTCTTGCAGCGTGGGAAGCTGCAGACAGGAGGGAATGGAAGCAACAGGCTACTGGCTGAGCTACTTCCAAGCCACAGGGAGCTGCTTTGCCTTTCCTGCTAATGTTATTGTCTTCATCTCTCTGAAACTGGATGATTTTCATGGTAAACCACCTGCAAACCATTTTAGTAGTCTGGATGGCTGTTACCAAATGCATTATCTTTGAATGGTCCATTAAACGTGAAACAATGAAGATCACAGATTATCAACATTTGCTATTTATTAAAGCCCACCTGGCAAAGATGTCTCACAGCTTGTCAGCCTGTTTCAACTATAAAAGATGGAGCCTGGGAATGATCCTGGATCTCTGGAGTGCTTGGCTTTTGGCAGGGGGAACCCTAAGCAATTGGACAGAGATCCCGAAAAGCCATTTTTGGGAAACCCCAAGGAACATATGAAAAGACTCTAAGAGACTGGCAGATTGACCTGTTGAGTGACCTGTCACTACAACCTTCAAGTTCCAGGAAGATCTGTGCTCAGAGTTTCAGCCCCAAGAACACTTATTTCCATAATTACCCTTTCTGCACCTTTCTCAGGTCTTTAACATCATTTATAAAATGGCACCCAGCACAATGTCCACATGCTGTCTGTAATGAGCCACATATACACAGACTGGAGAGTGAAGCAGAACTGCACTTAATGGAAAACAGTGAAGGAAACCCCCAACTACTTACACTAGTTTCTGCAGTTTGCAATTGGGATGTTTCAGTCCTTCACACAGCTGCTTCACTCCTAAATCTCCCAGTTTGCTGCCTCTCAGGTCCAGCTCTTTCAAAGTTTGATTTGTACTGAGAACTAAGGTAAGATACTTGCAATCATAGAAAATGATACCACAGTGTCCCAACCTGCAAAGGACAGAATAACGGAGGGAGCTGATACCTTGATGCACAACAATTCACTGTATTAATGAATGTGTTTCAAGTCAACAAGTTCTCTAGATATTTTATCTACTTTAACCATTTAATAACTCTCATATCTCTTTCTTAGTCAATAAATCTTTAACTAGTTTACTAAGGATTGGCTACAACATTGTTTTTGGTGAGATCCTGAAGTATATTTTGACCTGGGGTAAGTGGCTGGTCCTTTTATGACTGGGAGACCCTAACGTGTGGTGAATTTTGCTTTTAATCATCTTTCATCATAAAGTCCAGTTTATCTGGGTAGTAAATTGGGCTGGAGAGCTTAAGGGAGACTGTCTATGGCTCCATGGTAAAACTAATATAGTGATCCAGGAGCATACATTTATTACAGGGTTGGTGAAATCTAAGTATAGACTATACCATCAATTGGGGATTGTCTGCCCTGTTTTCTGACAGTCTGATCTGAGATTAGCACTCTTAGCTGTGAGCCACTCCAGGCAGCGTGACACTGCAATCAAATGCTCTGCCACTGAGCTCTACCCCCTTTCAATTTATTCAACTACTTCAGTTCAATTACTAGTTCACTGAAAGATGAGAAACCAATTGGGAGCTGAATGAGCCCTCACACTGTTCAGAACAAATGATTTTTTCATTACTTTCTGTGACATTTCAGCTCCTTGTACAGACCACTAACCAAAGGAAAGGTTGCTAGGGAATGTCAGGAAATGGTTTATACTAACAAATGATAAGTCTCTGAGGCAGGGAACTAAGAAATTGCAGGCATCCAACCTAGAGGAGATGAAGAACATTATTGTATATATGTGTTCTCTTCTTAATAAAGATTAAAATACACTTTGCAAAATAGTTCTCTCATGCACAAAAATCCTCTAGTCATTAGGAGAGCAGAACACTGATGCCATCCAGAATAACACTGAGACCCCAAAACCCACACCTCCCAGCTGCTGTAAGGGAGCAGTCTCAGATGCTCGCTTCTGGCTGATGGGAGAGTGTCCCACCTCTTATGGCTCTTTATCTTCACACTCCCATGGGTGAGAGTGACGGGGGAGGGCAGAGAATGGTCTTCTCTCTTTCCTACATGCAATGTGTGGTCTGGGATGTCCTAGTGATACCTCTGACCCTCGTGACCACTCATACCACAAGGCCTGGATTAGTGCTGTTGGATCTGGCCTTAATCCTCATTGGCTATTTCTATCATTTATTCAAGATTTCTAAACAGTGACATATTTTGGGCCACTGGTGTGCCCTTCACATGTGCAGTGAGGAGAAAGACCTGTCGAGTGACCTGTCACTACAACCTTCAAGTTCCAGGAAGATCTGTGCTCAGAGTTTCAGCCCCAAGAGCACTTATTTCCGTAATTACCCTTTCTGCACCTTTCTCAGGTCTTTAACATCATTTATAAAATGACACCCAGCACAATGTCCACATGCTGTCTGTAATGAGCCACATATACACAGACTGGAGAGTGAAGCAGAACTGCACTTAATGGAAAACCATGAAGGGAACCCCCAACTACTTACATCAGTTTCGGCAGTTTGCAGTCAGGATGTTTCAGTCCTTCACGCAGCTGTTTCACTCCTGATTCTCCCAGTTTGCTGCCTCTCAGGTCCAGCTCTTTCAAAGTTTGATTTGTACTGAGAACTAAGGCAAGATACTTA